ACTCTTCTTAATGGAAGAAAAAAAAGGTCAAATTATTGCGCTCTCTCCTTCTCCTTCTCTCTCTCTCTCTCTCTCTCTCTCTCGCTCTCACTCTCTCTTCCGAAAAGCTAGTCACAAAGAGAAAGATAGAGAAAAATTGGGTAGGCAAAGAAAGAGAAAGAGACAAGTTAAAGTTGCAGCTATTTAGGTAAAGAGAAAGATATATCTACATACGTACATATGTACTAGGATAGAGATGTACATATGTACATATATACAAAAAAATATATATGTATAAAGATTAATATTAATATTAATATTATAAAATATATATACATATGCACACACATACATATGTAAATAAATATGCATACATACATGTACATATCTACATATGTATGTATGTACATATGGCCAATACATTTCCGAGGGCCACAACAGAAGCAAAAGCAGCTACAACCAACGAACCCAAAAAGCAACAGCAACAAGAAGTGAGTGATTTTCGGTAGCAGAAGCTTTAAATACACTTCCAGATCTCTCGTTCCTACGAAAAATGCAAATTCCAATTTCCACCAAGACCAAAAATCCTAGTTTGACTCTGAATTGCAAACATGTGAAAAGAAAAATTATACCCCTAGCGTAAGGGTATGGATCCAACAGTAATGCAGCGCAGCCGAAGGTCGTCGCCGTCATGTTGTTGCTATGTTTCTGCTTCTGACGCTGTTGCCGTCGCTGCCAACGTTGACTGCGCCGCAGCAGAAAAAAAAGTAACAGCATCGACCGCAGCATAGATTCCACTTTGGGAAATTTGAGAAAACTGCATTAAATTTTCGTATATTTCGTACCCAAGCACACTGGGCAAAACAATCTAGCGGAAGAAAATTCAAATTTTGACATACTAAAAACTGGAAATTTGTTTTTGATTCGGTTACCAATACACTTTTTCGGCTATCGACACTTTTTTCTTAATATCGATGAAATCGATATTCGGTCAGCTGTGAGCATTTAAAGGTGACATATGTATGTATGTTTTCGTAGGTGCATCATTAATCATCAAAAAATAATTTTTAAATTTATTTTTCAAAAGTATTTAAAAATATCATTATTATCATTATTATTTTTAAATTGATGACTTTTATCTCGCTAGATGGGCTGTTTTGCCCAGTTTACTAAGGAAGGAACGGAACCCTTTGCTTCTACACCACAACGTTGTTGCTTTACCATGTACATACATATGTACATAGTATGTATGCACTATGCATATATGGATGTATAGCCTATAGTATAGCCATTATAGATGTACTTAAATATGTATCCTTAGATAATATCCTTAGATAATAATGGCATACCATTCCCATTTTATATACATACATACATATGTATGTTTCCATGGCACTAAAATGGTGGCTCCAATAGTGAAGGAAGAGCAAAGGAAGAAGGATATTCAACAAAGACTGGATGAGGAAGAAGCAGAGTTGGACTGGGAGGAAAATGAGAGCGAATGAAGAGTCAGACTTAGAAGGGGATGGGGGAGGGGAAGGGAGAAGAAGCAGAAGGAAATTAGGCAGCCAGGCAAGACCACGAGAGTCGATGGCTGAAGTAAAGAGAGAAAGTCAGGATTAGCTGATAAAGTTGGGGAAGTAACAAATAATTCGGTGAAGAAAACGAATAATCTAACATAAATAAAACTAGAGAAGAATGCAAAAACGAGCAGGTGAAAAATGTAAATAGGAGAGGGTGGAAAATGAGATAAATAATAATAAGGGGCGACTGTCTGATTAAGAAGGGAAGAACAAGCAGTGGATACAGAGCACAAAAAGGGGAAGAAGAACTGGAGGGGGATCATTGAGAAGGATCTTCGGGTTCTAATTATTGGAAGTATTGATCATTGGAGCAGTGAAGAAAGATACAAAAAAGGAAGGCCAATTGGCAGAAGAAGAAATTAGGAGTCAGCAAAAAAAGCAAGCAAGGAGTATGATCAGCAGGGCGGAATTGCCGTGAAGGAGTAAGGTGGAGGAAGCGAGGAACAGGAGCAGCGAAAAAGGAGCAAGGGAGTAATCTAGGAAGAAGGAGAATTGGAAATGGCCTCATGCTTTTACTGGACTGAAAAAGAAAACAGAAAAAGGAAGCAGGGGAAATATGTAACAGTGTAGAAGCATCTGTCAAAAGACAAGTACGAACCGAACAAAGAAGAAGATGGAAGAATGAAAAGCCCGAACCGAGCCGAACACCCCGTATCCCCATCAGAATAACCATTACATAGGAATCGAAGCGAACGACACGAAGTTGGGAGCACGAACACGAAGAAAAGTTGGAACAGTGCCCTCAGAAGCATTCCCATCCGCCCCCCCCCCCCCCCCCCCCCTCGAACCCCACCGAACCCCACCCCACCCCTTATACACTGCCGTCTGCCCACCCAGCCCCTAGCAACGACAACCCCGTTGCCTACGCCCCTGCTCCTGCCATTAACTCACTAATACTAGCATACCAGCAGCAGGGAAAAGTGTGTGTTTGTGTATGTTCGCGTCGCTGTGGCTGCGACAGCGCTACCTCTCGCTCTGCTCTACCTTTCCCATCACGTGGCGCGACGACGAAGCGGGGCCTCGACAGGAGACTATTCAAGTTGTGTGTCTCGACATACATACACACTCGCATACACACTCGCATACACACTCACACACACACACAAAAATAACTCTCTCATACATATGCATGTACATATGTACATACATACATATGGACAATTTTGTTGGCTTTTTTTTGTTGATTTGCTTTGCTGTTGTTCGCATTGCTTTTGTTCGAACACCCACCCATACATACAGACATACAGATCTGTGTACGGTACGGAGTATTTCACTACATTTTGGCGGAATATGCTGGGGGTAGGTGGAGGGGTAAAATAAGAGTAAGAGGAAGAGGAGGAGGAGGAAAAGGAAGAGGATGCAGTGGTCTGTGGCGGAGAGGTTTAGGGTGCTACTACTATTAAATCCGAACCTAACAATCATTTGCTTAAGCCGAAGTCATTAGGCCTCAATTTGTGGTAACATACATACATACATGTATGTAAATAAAATACTTACATATCTATCTATCCTGGGCACACCCTACCGGGTCCTACGCCAACTACTTGCATACATACATACATATGTACATATATAAATAGAGACCGATCTTGGTGGTCCTGCCCTGCATTCTGGATGCAGGAAAGAGATGCAAAAAACATAGCCTAGAATCTGAAAGATTTATTTGCATAAAGAAAACCATTTTTTTATTTGCAGTTTTAGGGCTAATGACGCCAAATCCATTAGTTCAATAAAGGGCGGGGTTCTTGAGAAGGCAGATTCATCAATACGATTACAGTCCAATGGGAAGGCAATAATGTGAAAATTCAAATACTTATCTGTGCACTGTATGGAATCAGTTGAAAGCTATACTTTATTATACTCAGCTTTTTTGAGTATTACCTTATGATGGACAATGTCGAGTAGAGGACTCTCACAATAAACATACGTTGTTTTCCAACAGCCATTAATCAAACGCATTACGAATTGAGCAACACCTTAACCATACCTTAAATGTGTGTTTATTAGTTGCTAATCAAATATATTCAATCTCTTATAACTCTCTCTAGCAGACACTAGGACATTACCAATCCTTGTCTTGGTTAAAACAGTTTTTAGCAGTTCAACGATTGGCGCCAAGCGAAGTATGTAGGTAGTACTGCGCAGCGATAACAATACGGCATTCCGTAACATAAGATAATGTGCTGTTAGGCGCAAGGTATGCTATTTAACAAAAAAAGGCTTATTTTGTAATTTAACTAGTTTTCTTAAAAAGAACGCTGCTGAATTTTATTTTACACGCTACTTTCACAAGGGTTGAGCTATTGAGTTTTGGGCAAAACTCCGTTTTTTTACATACGATAAGCATGGAGGCCCTATCGTTTAAACTTAAATAACAACAAAAACTAGCAGACTAAAATTAAAATTTTTGCGCGTAAATATTATGGCTGAGGGAAAAGTTGGAAATATACATATAATCTTTAAATCATTTCAATAATCTTTCAACTCATTTAATAATTTGGTTGATTTATAACGCTTTGCTGGAAACACAAGTACGTACATACCAGCACTTAAACTCAATAATTCGACTTTATGCAAGTGTTCTGACTTATTGAGTTAACTCAACTATCGATAGGTTACTCGGGTCAGCCTAAATAGCTTATAAAAAGCATACTAATTCAAATTAATTCCTGGCCCTGATATTTCTTACCTGTTTTTCGTCGATAACTTTAAACATGATCTATAGGTTGTGTTCGTTGACGAATAAAAATGGGGTCGTGCCAGCAGTCCCGCTGATAAATTTGATGTCTATCGATGTTAGACACAAAATCGGTCCCAGCATGGAAGCGACTCCTGCAGATCAGCGAAATGTGGAGATAAAGGCACGGATTCCTGGCGGAAGTGAGGATTTTGCCCGCCGCCTGGACATCGCCAAGAAGCTGACTGGCAGTCAGACAGGAGAGCTCATCGTCCAGCGCGATGTGTTCTTCGAATCGCCGCTGGGCGGGCGTCTCAAGCTGCGGTACTTGCAGCCTCCGTCGCGCTCCCAGTTGGTCTACTACGATCGACCCGATGTGGCCGGTCCTAAGCTGTCCTGTTTCAACAAGATTGAAGTGGACGAGCCAACTGTGCTGGAGAAGATTCTGGGCCGGACGAACGGCATCTTAGGCCAGTTGGATAAAAAGCGCCATTTGTTCATCCATGAGCAGACGCGTATCCACCTGGACGAGGTACAAGACCTAGGTCACTTTATGGAGTTCGAGGTCTGTCTGAGACCGGAACAGACTCTGGAGGACGGCCAGACCATTGCCGAGCAGCTCGCGAAGACTTTTGGCATTCTTAAGGCGGATCTAATGACCGGCTCCTACTTCGATGCCCTGCGCGATGGACACTAAAAACGCTTGACTGCGCTTTTTATAATTCCTTGTAAAAACAAAGTAAAACTCAGGTCTGGACACGGATATTTACAAAAGAACGAATCTGTTTTTATTTTCTCACTTATCTCTGTAACACGATTAGGGGTCGATTTAGACTGAGGTTAAACCGAGCATAAATGCAAAGTGGTCAAAAGGACACGAACATAACACCGAAACGGGGAGGACAAGACCATGCTGACTAAGGCTATCTATTCTTATAAACTAGGACTGAGAATTGCACAGGACGACACACACAAAATGCCACTAGAAAGGGTCTACAATAAAAAAAGAAACAAAGAAGAAACATCCCGCGATGTGCTGGCCATTTGGAATGGACGCTTCTCTTCTTCTTCCAGTTCGTTGGCGTGGATTCTGGGTTTCATAGAGCCCTTGAGCCGAGCCGGGACTCCCATGTTCGTTGACTAATTTTGCATCGCGGATGTATGTATGTATATGGGCGTGGATATATGTGTGTATATGCACTATGCGTATGAATGTATATGGCGCTTGGATGAAAGAAAATCTCTAGCAGTAAGAACCGATCAAGCTGATGGACAATGACTCGGATATGGGATCCGGGGCCGAGATCGGCTTCCAATACAACCAGTTATAGCTGACTAAAGGAGATACAGAAACATCGAGATAATGTTAGAGGGAGTGCGCATGCACAAACAAAACAGAGCAAAAGCAAGAGATAGAGAATGATACTCACGGACAAAGGACTGTGTGAGGCGAATGGAGAGGGTGCGGCACCGGTGGCGACACTCGCTGGTGGGGCGCAGGATGATAAAGCGCGTGCCCACCGCCTGGTGGACATACACATTGGGGCACTCCGTCTCAGGCAGCGTATAGGCCGGCGCCTGGGCCGTGTCGATGGCCACGTAGCGCTCTAAAGCAACGCCCAGGCTCGGAAGGCGGGACGGCCGGGCGAAGATGGGGCGCAGCAAGCGAGCGGGGAGCATGCGATTGCAGCGCCACAGATTGTGCGCCTGCTGTGTCCAGGTAGGCGGATCGATATTCGTGTTCATGTCACTGTTGCTGCTGTTGAACTGGCCAAAGAGATCCTCGAGATTGTGGACACCCTGGTTTGTGGAGTGCACCCGGTACGCATCGCGCTGGAAGATCATGTGGTTGCTAGTATAGATGTTGTAAAATTCGCTTAGAACCATGGCATCCTGTTGGCTCTTGAACGCAAACGGCACACTATCCCCCTCAGCCATTGTCTGGCGGCACTTGAGGAGCAAGGATAAGCCCTTATCGCTGCCGCTGACAGGGGCATGTAACTGGGCGCACTCATCGCTCTCAAACCAGACGCTCTCCACATTGGCGCAGGGGCCGCAGCTGAGGTCCTCCATCTGGAAAAACGGATTGCCCATCAGACAGGACTCGTCGTAGAACTCGGTCAGCCGGGGAAAGCGCTGGATCAGCGGCATGGTCATCCGCCGCCACATCCGCATCCCGGGGTACACCGTCGACTGTACTACGCGCTCGTTGCTACCGCTCGATGTCTCATAGCGGTATGCGGCCACGCACAGCGACACAAGCGTAAGGTAGAAGAGCCAGCATAGGATCTGGCGCCGGCGGTCAAGCAAATGGTGCAGTACCTCTAGCTTGAGGTAAGCCATCAGTTGCGGCGGCGGTACCAACGTTGCGCTGCCCCCGCCCATGCCGGCCATTCGCTGGCGCCAGTTGCGCTGCTGAAAGTACTGGAACAGCACATAACTGTCAAAGGACAGGGGCCGCACCTCACGGTGGGCCTCGGCTAGGCGGCGCAGCTTGCGCACGGCAGTGCTGTAGCGTTGCAGCAGTTGCTGGCGGCTCAGTTGCACGAAATTTAGATCGATATCGATGTCGTAGTCATCCATGGCCTTCCTTTTCTGCCGGGTCTCGTACGTCTCCACATCCGTTGTCGTCTTTGTCGCCTTGTTCCTTGTCTGTGGGGGACTGTCGTTCACCCTATCGCTCGCGGTAACTATCTCTGCTTGCATATAAAAGTGTTATCTTTTTTGTTGTCTTTAAAATTGTTATAATTTATTGCTTTTATTGTTCCCCTTGTTTTTGTTAACGAATGTTTTGTGGCGTGAGATTTTATTTACATTCACAAAATGCGCCGTTTGGCCGCGAGGTGGCGCTGCGTATGTTATCAAACAAACGTGAAGGCGTGGTGAGCGGGTAGCTTTGTTTATTTTTTCGGGCAGGTATTTACAATGTATTCCAACTTATTTCTTGATAGGTTTTTTATATTTTATATACATTTTTCTTCGCGTTGGTGATTCTACGTAATAAAACTGCACCTTCTCGCACCACAATAGAAATAAAAACACACTATCGCGTTCACTGCAGTTGCAGCTAGTGGTGGAAGTTCATAATTTAGCGTCCAAGGTTTATGTTCGGAAGAAAAACGCTGATCCTGGAAATTATTACTTTATTAAACTCTTTTCGTTACAATTTTCTCCTAGCTATCATTTGGATTATCAAAAAATTTAAATTTTCATAGTCTTTCATCGTTGCTGCCACAATCGATAGTTTCTGTCAACACACATTGAGTTATCGCTAATATCGATTGTTCTACTGCTGGCTCGTCAATTTTATTTGGAATTTCTGTGTGTAAAAATTAAAAGCCTGCGTTACTAAATTTGTCAGATCATTGGCAAACACACGCCTGGCCGAAAAAGCGACTCAAAAAAGGAGTATCGAATTTTCCCGTTGCAGCGGCTGCTTGCGGAAGAATAACGTTTTGGAGGAAGACTAGCGGCGACACACGCACCCATACACATATACAGCGTAAAAACAAAGACTCAGCATGCCACGAGGAAAGTTCGTTAACCACAAAGGCCGCAGCCGTCACTTTACATCACCCGAAGAGCTTCAGCAGGAGTCCGAGGAGGAGAGCGACCAGTCGAGTGGCAGCGGTAGTGGTGAAGAGACCGGCGGTGACAAGGCCTCCGGTAGTGCGGCCACATCCAAGTCGAAGCCTCCAGCGACCCGTAAGACCGCCACCCGTCCAGCCCACCGTCAAAAGCAGCGTCCGGCGGTCAGCTCGTCGGAATCCGATTCGGAGGAGGAGTCCGAGGATGACTCAGAAGCAGAGGCGCGAGATGCCAAAAAGGGCGTGGCCTCGCTCATCGAAATCGAGAATCCCAACCGTGTGACCAAAAAGGCCACCCAGAAAATAGCAACTCTCAAGCTGGACGATGGTGGGTCCTCCACCACCAGCTCCACCGCCGCCGCCAAGCCGGAACTGTCCCGTCGCGAGCGTGAACAGATCGAGAAGCAGAAGGCGCGCCAGCGTTACGAGAAGCTACATGCGGCCGGCAAGACGACCGAGGCGAAGGCGGATCTCGCTCGGCTGGCCCTCATTCGTCAGCAGCGAGAGGAGGCCGCCGCCAAGCGCGAGGCAGAAAAAAAGGTGGCAGCCGACACTGGAAAGAAGCCGGGGGCGAAGTAGTATCATACAGGATCGCCAGCCCGCGATACCTTAACCCGTCAACTGATTCAGTAACAGAACCAATGGAAGGGCTAATGGCAATTAGTTAAGAAAACGTAAAGTAAAAAATTTATCAGAAATCAACGCAAAAGGATGAGGCTCGCTACGCATCGCATCTCATCGACCCCGAACCAAACCAAACGCGATATGTTGCATCTGCCACAAGTGCCGAGTATCCATGAGAAACGCTAAAAACTAAATTTCGATCTGAGTGAGCCCAATGTCAAACAAATTTCAGGTTTTCTATGCAGCGTCTTTTGTAATTGAGAATTATAAAAATAAATAAATATATATATATATACATACATATGATATATATGTATATTATGTACAACCAAGTGACGGCTATTGAACTCTCTCTCTTCCAATGATAACCTCCTTGCTGGGCCGCCATTGCGATTTAAAGACAAACACATTACGGGATACTTTACAGTCTGCAATGCGCATATAATCTATTCAGAATGGACCTACGTACTAGCTATAACTACTCCAGAGCGGGACAACCGGAAATCCCTGAACTGGGTCTGGCCTATACTACCTTCCAGACCTCCTCGAAGGCGCTGCAGAGCTTGGAGCATGCTATGGCCGCCGACAGCGGGTAGTTGCTGATGGAGAAGAGCTCCTCGGTGTAGTCCGTCTTGAGAACGCCATGCGCAAAGGCGCCGATCACCATAACCACGGGCTCATCGTAGGCAACGCTACCTTCCTCGCCGTGTGGGACAAGATCGCGGCAATTTGCGACAAGTTTCCCGGAGAAGGACATGGCGTATTTCTTGCAGCCGACCGGCAGATGGTCTGTTATGGGGTTCTTGATAACACTCATTAGGCGGCGAGACGAGTCGTTGGCCCGAATCTGGAACTTGTGCAGCAGTTGGACCATAAGACCGGCGAACCGCTTGAAAGTGCGTGGAATGCGCGTTTGGGGATTAATCTCGATGAGAACATTGTGTTCGGTACGCACAAACACTTGGAGCAGGCCCGCACGGTTTAGCGGTGAGTCGAATAGCATCAGTAGGCATTGGTGGGTGATGTCGGGGCGGCAGGAGCCCGGATCACGTTGATTCTTGCGCATAATACCCGCATGGTCGTCGCAGTTCAGCAGTTCAAAAGTGCCGTGCACCTGCGGACGGGTGGATATTGTCAGCTGTCAGCCAGGTTGAGGGTTCGCAAAACACTCACCTTAACCGTTTCCAGCTGGGCGCCCTCCAGTACGATAATCAAACGCTTCTCGCTGGCATTTACGTGCAGCACCTTGAAGTGTTTTTTGTCCAGATCGAATTCCGGATCGTCGGTCTTGCGTCCCACAAATTTGCGCTTGCGATTTATCATTTTTCCTTGGCCTCCCATTTTATTTCGAAGTGTGCTATTAATTTATTTAATTTATATATATTTCTACAAAAACAAAAACCATGTGCACGCGGCGGAGAGAAATTATCGATGGATGTCATATATTACAGCCCTGCAAGAACGTTCGATACTATCGATAGCCGTACTCATTCCTGCCATCTGCAATCATAACAAGAATCAGCTGGGCGCTAAAGTTTTTAGGCATTACAAAGCTTACAAAAGATTCTTTCAAATAGTTAAACATTTCGTTTAGCCGGAACAAGCATGTCTGCTCTACGCCGTGACGTGTCCCCATTTTTTCAACGGATCCGGGCCTTTCTCCTCGGTGTAAGCATGGAACCGAACGGCGCCCCGAGCGTCTCAAATGTTACGTTATGTAAGACAAAAAACGGAAATTTATACAATTTTATTCCAGCGTGAGCACACTCTGGCGCTGCGCTTCGAGGACGACGTAGCCGATCGCACCCAGCCCCCTCCAAAGATCCCCGACGGACCTTCGCAGCTGTACTCGGCCAACTATTATTGCCTGCGCGATGGCCGTCGGGAGGTGAATCCACCTATTGATCTGGTCGAGCAGCAAAAGCAGCTCTCAGCGGATGGCGGTGCGTCCACGGCGACCAAATTACCCACTCCGGGCCAGGTATATGCCTGGGACTAAATGACCGAAGAAATAACTCTTTTTTTGTGTTGTAACTTGATGCGGTTGAAACTAAAATATAATCAATTTAAGCATTCAAAAGTGTGGTATATAAATCAATCATTTTATTTTATTGGAATATTTACAGTGCGGTCGTCTTAAGAACTAATCAAAAAAGGTAATAAAATAAAAATAAAGCCACGCAGGCAACAAGAAACGGGAAACTTCCAGAGAAAACTCAATAGACGCGCGGTTTGAGACCCACATTGATACCGGTGGTGGAGCGGAGGATGAGGTTCAGCACTAGCTGGACGTCCTCACCTAGGGGCAGCAGTTCAAAGTGCCTCACCATCTTGCTGATGGTGCTTTTCATCTCCAGCATTGCAAACTTCTGGCCAATGCAGTTGCGTGGTCCCGCAGAGAACGGCGTGTAGGCGAATGGATTGATTTCGCCCTTGCGCTCCGGACTGAACCGTTCCGGCACGAATTTATTCGGCTCGGGGAAGTAGTCCGGATCGCGCTGGGAATGGTAGATGAGTATCATAACATCGGTCTTGGCGGGTATGAGTTTGCCGTCTGCAAGAAGCAAATCATCATCATTAATGATCAACATTTCTTAAAAAGGAACCCAAGGGAACGCACCCAGCAGTGTGTCCTCGACAATGTGGCGTCCGATTATCGGTACCGAAGGGAACAGTCGCAATGACTCCTTGATCACACACTCCAGATACTTGAGCTCGCCTAGCAGCTGGATGTTCACGGGGGCGTCCTTCTCGTCGCCGAGCACATCACGCACCTCCTGAAAGACTCGAGCCTGCACCTCTGGATGCCGGGCCAGCAGATAGCAGGTGAAGGCAATGCTACTGGTGGTGGTGTCGTGGCCCTCAAACATGAAGGTATCTACCTCCTCTCGTATGTCCTCATTGCTGAGTGGAGCCCCGTCAATGGAAGACTGTAGGAGCACATCTAACAGGGCCATGCGACGTTTCTGACCCACATCGTCCAGGGGCGATGCGTTGGTTGTCTCGTACGTGCCATCTGAGATGGACTTCTGCAAGAGGTCACGACGCTCGCTGATCACGTTGTTGGTGAAGTCCTGCATGGCCTTTATGTTCGCACTCAGCTTGGCAAAGGCGGAGGGAAAGAACAGACGCATGGAGATGTCCAAACGCTGGGCGGGATTCACAAAACGCTCGGCCAGCATGCCAGAGGCCCTGAGACACATGGGATCGGAATGAAGAGGCAATCCAAACAGTCTAACGAGTTAAACTCACGTTTTTACCGACTGGACATAGGGAAAGTTGGGTTGCAACTGGGCATTTATCTTGACGCCCATGGCCGTCTCGGCGATGATGTCCATGGCGCAAAGGCAGGCTACGGGGAACATGTTGATCACGGTTTTGCCATCTGCCCGGTCGTACAGATTCTTAGCCATGATGGCACTCTGCTGGTCAAACACCTCCACAAACTGCTCGAGGATCTTGAAGTGGAACGCAGGCGTGATGATCTTGCGCCTACGGAACCACTTCTTTCCCTTGCTCAGCAGAAGGCCATCGCCCAGCCAGTTGACCAGCAGGCCGTATAGGTTGTTCTTCTGTATGGTCTGCTGGCTGCTCATGATCGCCTCAATCATTTTGGGGTCCGCCGTCATGAAGCCGCGGTCTTGAAGAATCTGACATCGCACATTCTTGCCATGGGTTTGGATTAGGCGCCACTGCAAGTCGAACACAGCTGCAAGAGAGATTTGGTTTTGGTATCTGTCGCTTGAAAGGATCGCTGGAGCTCTGGGCTGGAGCTAGCCCCCGACTCCGTTTCTGTGGCCTACTTTTGGGCGACTCATTGATCATCAACGGGGCATTACCCACAAGCGGCCATGCTTTGGGTCCAGTGATTCCTGCCCGGTCAAATAATCTTTTGTGTTTCCGGCCGACCAGGTAGTCCCACACCAGGGCCACAGTAAGCAACAGCACCAACAGTTCCACAAACATTTTAACATGCAGTCGTTCCTAATTTCCCAATTTCCTATTTCGAGCTTCTTTGTTTTTCGGGTCTCTCCAACGCGCTTACAGACCACAACTAATGGGCTATGCTCGGTGGTGGGGCTGTTTTGTAGCCAATTCTGACCGAGATAAGGGTTCTATAATCAGCGGCCAGTATTTACCAGTACCAAGTGTACCCAAGGCGACGGTCACCGGCAGTTGGCGTTGGTGGTGGAGGTCAGAACGGGCTGGAGAGTCTTGGTGAAGGCGATCCCCAGATGCCAGGGGCAGACGCCCTCCCTTAGCCTTGGCCCTCTCTATCATCTATCATCAACCGGGTTTTCGGAAGTGGAGACATCTCGATCCCTCGATTTGTTCGGGCTATCACTGAGTTTATGGATCAGTTACATTATCAGAGTAATGGCGTAGATGCAGATAAGCCTGGTTGGGAATCTCCTCCCACCCACTGGGGACCCATTCATTGCGTTCATCGCGGCGCACACAACAACGACGAAATCGCCCGATCAGCATGACTCAAGGTCTTTGCTTACTATCGAAAGAATAAAAGTTCAGATTGATACGGTAGTGGGAGTGGAAGTGAAAGTGTGGGAGTGTGCCAGTAGGTCGTCCGATCCGTCCCTTTCACAGATTATCTGCTCTTTTTTATATACCAAACATTCCCCCAATAGCTGCCAAAAGAGTCTCTGCTCTATCTATTCCAGAGACATGCTCAGTCAACACTTTTGTATATATACAATAATTGTAGTTACTCTCATACAGGAAAAAGGATTTCTAACAAACACCGGCCAATAAATCCTGGCTGCAAACAAGTGACGATTAGTTTGTCGGACTAAGGGTTCCTCACATAAGCCTACTCAGAAAGTCTCTCTTGCTAGTCTCCACTGGCTGCATGGTTGGGAAATGGTATCGTTGGGAAGGTACAATCACAAATTAAATAAGAGCATATTATTATCTCTTAAGAACCGGCTCTCTTCTATTCATGTCTGAGTGGGAGCATTGGAGTGGGCGCTCCCGTGACCGAAGAGCGTATCTGAGGTCGACTTGGATGCTGTTCTATAACTGGTAAAACTACATCTCAGTGTAGACTCGTAGCCGCTCTCATTTCTCATAGAATTTCCACGAGTCTCTCATTTCCTAGAGAGTGAATTGAGAGAGTGTTCTTTATTCATTTGTTTATACAGTTGATTTAGAATTTTAATACGTTACCCGATTGGACCTTTGCTTACATTCCAAGCCATAAAAACCAGACAAGACCTATATCAATATACGCAATACGATATATTCATACATTGATGGTTTATTGTATAACCCTCTGTTGTACATTTTGAATGCTTATTAATGTATAGATCTTAGTGAACCCTTTGGCATCGAACTTAATGTAAATATCAGTGGATTCTCTTATCCAGTAGAAGATACATTTTGGTACCTTTGAGATTTACTGAGCAGTTTCTTTCAATTCAGACAAGTAAGCATGACGAATTATAGCTTAGCAATCGTGATAAGAATTGCGAGAAATCATCGTGATTCGACAATCCACTCAAGTCTAGTGGCGTAATTTCTCTTAGGCATGGCTCTCTTACGATCCGGACCGGCTTGCCGCTGACGCGTCTCGTAATCTGCTCACTGCCTGGTGGAGAGGCTCACCCTCGAGATAGCGGGAGTGAGATAGTCAGTGCAATGGTCGGCTATGGCTTATTCGTAGTTCGTTTGTAATTGGGTGTACAATGCTCGCGCTTGTTGTGTTCCTGGTGGCGCTTACGACAGTTCTGGTGTGGGATTTTTTTTGGCGCAAGCGGCGCAATGATATACTTCACTATATGCCAGGTCCGCGGGGTCTGCCTCTTGTCGGCAATGCCCTCATGTATCGTGGCCTCGATGCCGAACGTAAGTTTATTCCCAGACCAATATTGTATGTTACATTCCATAGTTACATAGACTGTATTTTTATGCTTGCAGAGATCATGGGTTTTGTTAGCAAGAATAGGAACAAGTACGGTCCACTCTACAAGGTGTGGGTGCTCAACCAGCTGGCCGTCTTCTCTACGGACCCGCATGACATCGAGTTCATCCTTAGCAGCCAGCAGCACATCACTAAGAACAATCTGTACGAGCTGCTCCACTGCTGGCTGGGCACGGGCCTCCTAATGAGCACCGGCAAGAAGTGGCATTCCCGCCGCAAGATCATCACGCCCACCTTCCACTTCAAGATCCTAGAGCAGTTTGTCGAGATCTTCGATCAGCAGAGCGCCGTGATGGTGGGGCAACTGCAACAGCGGGCTGATGGGAAAACAGCCATTAACATTTTTTCGGTTGTCTGTCTCCTGGCGCTAGACATTATAGCAGGTGAATGGGCGATTTGATTCTCTCCCATCTTTAATAGACTGTATCTTCTGTATCTGTATCTGTATCTGAATAGAAACCGCCATGGGAACCAAGATCCAGGCACAAATGAGCCCCAATCTGCCCTATGTCCAGGCCGTCACGGAGTGAGTCGTCCCTCTTTTCAGTGAGAGCTTTTGCAATTTTCCGCGAGTCCCTCATTTTGTTTTCTTTCAGTGTGACCAACATCATGACCACCAGGTTCATCCATGCCTGGCAGCGCATCGATTGGCTCTTCCGCCTGGTTCATCCGGGAATGGCTAAAAGGCAGGATAGCGCCATTAAGGTGATGCACGACTTCACTGAGAATATCATTAAGCAGCGTCGGCAGGCCCTGGTCAGTGCAGGGAAACAGGAGGAGGAGGAGGAGGTCAAGGAAGACGATGACCTGGGACAGAAGCGTCGCATGGCCCTTCTGGATGTGCTCCTGCAGTCAACCATCGATGGGGCTTCACTCAGTAACGACGACATCCGGGAAGAGGTGGACACGTTCATGTTCGAGGGTCACGATACCACTACCTCGGCCATCTCCTTCTGCCTTTACGAGATCTCTCGCCATCCCCAGGTGCAGCAGCTTCTGGTGGAGGAGATCCATGAGGTTCTGGGTGTGGACCGCCAGCGTCCGGTCACCCTGCGGGATCTGGGTGAACTCAAGTATCTGGAGAATGTGATTAAAGAGTCGCTCCGCCTGCATCCTCCAGTGCCCATGATTGGGCGCTGGTTCAACGAAGATGTGGAGATACGTGAGTGCTTGGTTTGTCGCTTGATTCCTGAAAGTACCTGAAAGTAATCACTCCTCGAAATTGCAGGGGGAAAGCGCATTCCAGCTGGGACCAACTACACCGTCGGCATCTTTGTCCTCCTCCGTGATCCCGAATACTTCGAGTCCCCAGACGAGTTTAAGCCGGATCGCTTCGACAGCACGTCACCCCAGACGCATCCCTATGCCTATATTCCCTTCTCTGCGGGTCCACGCAACTGCATTGGTCAGAAGTTCGCCCTTCTGGAGATGAAGAGCACCATCAGCAAGCTGCTGCGTAATTTTGAGCTGCTGCCTCTCGGTCCCGAGCCACGACCGGCCATGAACATTGTGCTGCGGTCCGCTAACGGGGTTCACCTGGGTCTACAGCCGCGTTCAGTACTCGCCAGTTGATCGCTCTGATGGCTCTGATTATGCTAATCTTTCCCATATTGGTTTGCCCCATCGGCTGTGGATTAAACAATATTTTTTAGTCGAATTCAAATTTTGGTTGACTTCTGTTCACGTGCTCACTTGTTACTCTTCTTAATGGCCAACAGCTGGTGGCCAGGTCAGCTGTTCTCGCTTGATTCTCGCTCTCTGCCTCTGTCTCCCTCTGCTTGGCGGTGGACTTTTCGAACCCTTCGCTTATATAATCACTCAGAACCCCGCAGAATCTATACAAATTAAGCACTTGACACATGTCCGAGTGTACATATAAATAGTTTTACGGGTTCTACTGGTTTTTAACGGTGGTCGATAAGATTTGAGCTTCCTCTCACTGTGCCTTAGCCGACAGTGCATACTTCTGGATTTGGATCTGCTTGCTTCGGTTTGCAGTATTAAATGGATTCGGAGAACATGTTGATGGCTTTGCTGCTGACCATGGCCCTGACGCTGATTGTGGCTTGGCTACTGCAGTTGGCTCTGAGGGAGATGAGACATCCGCTCAGGGGATTTGTGCCCAGCGTCTCGCGGGTGCCGTTGGTTGGAGCCGCCTGGCAAATGCGCAGCTTCCAACCGGACAGTAAGAGAACCCACGCTGCTCCGATATTGGAACGATATTCACTTTGTGTCTTGTCCCCTTAGATCTCCACGAGAAGTTCGCCGAGTACGTGGAACGCTTCGGACGTAGCTTCATGGCCTCCGTTTGCGGCCAAGTCATTATGGTCACCGCCGAGCCGAGTCATGTGGACGCCCTGCTGCACAGCCAGAAACAGCTGCGCAAGAGCAGCATCTATGGAGCCCTACGCGGCTGGCTGGGCAATGGGCTGCTCCTCAGTCAGGGCGAGCAGTGGCACGGCATGCGCAAGATCATCACCCCCACGTTCCACTTTAGTATCCTGGAGGAGTTCGTCGAGGTGTTCGACAAACAAAGTCAGCTGCTAGTGGAGCGCCTGCAGCCCTTGTCGAATGGTGGAATGGTGGCTATCAACATTTATTCATACGTGGGCTTGGCCGCCCTCGACATCATCACTGAGACGGCCATGGGTGTCTGTGTGAATGCTCAGCTCGATGCGGAATCTGCTGTGGTGCAGGCCGTCAAGGCGTAAGTTCAACTGCCTTTCTAACGTGACTGAATGTGTCTGAATAACTCAGTCCTGCCTCCAGCGTGACTAATACTTTGGCGACCAGGTTTATGCGTCCGCATCTTCTGCCGCCGTTGCTCTTCCGACTCTGCTGGCCCAGTGGCTTTCGGAAGCAGCGGGAGGGTATCAAATGCCTGCACCTGTTCACAAACAGCATCATCGAGCAGCGTCGCCAGTTGCTTAGGAGAGAGAATGCACCGGGAGAGCCAGTCGCGCGGGACAGGCGCAATGCCTTGCTGGACACACTGCTGAGGGCAACGGTGGATGGCCAGCCGCTGACTGACAAGCAGATACGCGATGAGGTCAACACCTTTATCTTCGAGGGCCATGACACCACCACCTCGGCCATCTCCTTCTGCCTGTATCTTCTTTCGCGGCATGCGGCAGTCCAGGAGCGGCTTTTTGATGAGGTGAAAGGACACTTTGGCCGCGAGCTGGACCGATGCGTGGTATATTCCGACTTTGCTGCTTTGCCGTTTCTGAATTGTGTGGTCAGGGAGGCACTGCGCCTGTATCCGCCCATTCCGGCCTTGGGACGTTGCCTGGAAACAGATTTGGCAGTAGGTAAGTGGCTACTTAGACTAAGCGTACAGATAAGACACAAGATTAGGACATGCCTATCCAGAAGGTGGACGCATTCCAGCGGGGACCAATGTGATTCTGCTGCTCTGGCAACTGCTTCGGGATGAGATGCTCTTCGCAGATCCACTGATTTTTCGACCGGAGCGGCACCTCTCTAATAAGGCCACTTCTAAGAAGGGCGCATACAGCAATATACCCTTCAGTGCGGGACCACGCAACTGCATCGGCCAAAAGTTTGCCATGTTCGAGGTTAAAACCATGATCATAAAGATGCTAAGAAATTTTATACTGCTTCCCCTCGGCCCGGATGTGGAGCCCTCTATTAAGATCGTATTGCGATCCCGAAATGGCGTTCATTTTGGACTTCGCCCACGCGTTTATTGATATTTTGCTTACATCTTAATTTTCAGAAACAATCAGCTGTCTGCAATGCAAGCGATATCGACTATTTAGATTTTAAATGTCGGGTTGGTTGCCGCGCTGGTGAAATCGATATTTATATCGATATTTGGCATAAAAACGTCAACCTAATGGAAAACAATTTTAAATACCTTCTACGAACCTTCAATGTGCTTTAGTTTATTTTCGTTGTAATTGAACATTTTTCGTGGCCGTGCTGATCCATGCCGTGACTTGCAATTCGCCAACTCTAGACATTGGTGGTGTTCAGGGACATCGATGAAAAATACAGCTATCGATATTGGCAACTGTTGCTTGTCGGACTGCAGTTGCTATCGGTTCGGAATCAACAGTCCTGCGAGGTTGAGATTTTGCCGAGTGGTCATAGTTTTTCTTGGAATTCAAGGAGTTAGTTAAGTTAAAATGCGTTTCGTCCGTTTTCTAACTCATGCTCGGACAACGCTCAGCCGTGTAAGTATCTCCAGGGACAACCTTGACCAGCAGGCAAAGCACTGATAGGGATTCTTGTTTCAGTACCTGGCGGACGGGTCGACTGTTGCTTGGCAGGCTCACCCTGCTGAGGAGCTACGTAAGCTGCACGTCGTCATTGGCAATGAGTCGTGCGATCTCGACTCGGCTGTCTCGGCCTTGACTCTGGCTTTCATTTACTCAGAGCGTAGCCAGGAGCACGACTATGTGCCCGTGTTGAACATTCCACGCAGGGACTACCGGCTAAAGACAGAAGTGGGCCATATGTTGAGCAAGTGTGGCATTGCCGAAGCCATGCTGCTCTTCCGCGATGATTTGCCAAACAAATTCGCTAAGGATGTCAACGTTGTTCTCGTTGACCATCATGTGAGTGAGCTGGCTCCACATGTGGTAGAGATTCTCGATCATAGACCCATCGATGGCGCTAATCCGAAATACATGCTGTTGCCCCAGAACTGTGTGCGCAGCATCGAGACCGATATCGGTTCCTGTGCCACCATCGTCGGCCAGCGTTACTTGGCCGTGGAGCAACCACGTTCGCCCATCGTCGCCCAGTTGCTACATGCCACCATAGTCCTGGACACAGTCAACTTCTCGGCCACGGCCAAGCGTTTCTCTCCCAGTGACCTGGTCATGGTGGAGCAGATGGAGAGGGAGCTGTCAGAGGGAGGCCAGTCAGATGTTGGGCGGCGCTCTGAGCTTTTCAACGAATTGGTGGCGGCTCGCGCCGACATAAGCAATCTGACACTCACCGAGGTCTTGCGCAAGGACATGAAAATAATTCAGACCGAACGTCAGCAAGTGCCCATAGCTGGAATGCCCATCCTTATTAGGGATTTCATTGAGTTGAGTGGCGCCGAGAAGGCTCTGCGCGAGTTTGGAATCGACAGCAACCTCCTGGTTATGCTTGGCATGTATGTCTCTCCCGTTGATGGTACGGTGCAGCGCGATGTGGGCCTCATCTCGTTGGCCGGACAGAGTCAGTTGGTGGAGTGTGTCCGTTTGGCCCTGGTGGGGTGCCATGAGCCCTCGTTGGATCTCAGAGCCCACGATGTGGGCAGCCGTTTCATGGGCGGCTGCTACCTCCGTCAACACAATCTCCGCGCCACACGCAAGCACATTCAGCCCGTGATCAAGCGGGCTCTGATGGAGTGGGAGGAGATCCATGGCTTTGGCTGTAATGAGGTGTACTTCTTTAAGGAAAAGCCCAAGCTGGGCCTCTCCTAAGTCAAAAATCAATTGTAAAGGCCATCAATGGACGAGATAAGGAGGTTTAGCCAATACTTAGCAAGGGTTTAATGAGTGGGGTGTGCTTGAAATTATCCGTCGCGACGTGGGATTCCAAAAAAATTGTTTCTTTTAGTTGATTAAGCGATTATATGTACAGGGCATATATGTATGTACCTATGTATACAAGAAATAAATCTGTATGAATAAAACTAAAGCTCTGGCTCCTCGTCCTCTGCGTTGCCAGCCTCGCCCATTTCATCGTCGGCGCACTCCAGCGTCATGTCTTCCAGCATCTCCTCAAGCGTGATTTGGGGTACGTCGCCTGTGGCCCCCTGCACCTCGATGGGCAGCGTCTTGTTGGTATCGCGATAGATGTTGACTTGTCCTCGCATGTCCACGTTCTCTTCGAGATCGTCCAGGAACTCGTGGTAGTCGTGTTTGCTGCGCTCGTCTGTGGCCTCGGCGGCCAAGTGTTTAATCTTCCACACTCGCTGGTTGAGGCGCGCCTGGCGATCGTAGTGCTTCCGCACCAGAACCACATCGGGCACTAGGTCTGAGGCGAGTTTCTCGAATTCTGGATCATTGATGTTGGCCTCCCCGGTGTTGTAGCCCATGACGGAGTCGCCTACCTTCAGTAGGTGGCCGAGATGGGAGCGTGTGTGAATCGGATTGTCATTGATGCCGAGCTCCGATGAACGCACCACCCAAATGTCGCAGAGGGCATGCTTGAAGGACAATTGACCCTGGCCGGGATACGTTTTACGATCCTTCTCCATGATCACCTCAATATCCATGACGACGTACTCCACCAGCTGCTTGGGATTGCAGACAGCCTCGAAGGGAGCTCTGCAAAACGTAAAGGATCATGAGTCTGCCCAATTTAGGATTGGAAATGAAAATGAAATCAATCATACCTGAAATACACCTGGGATGTTAGCTCGGCAATCTGAGCCGTCAAAGGATCTATGAGATGGATACTGCTGGAGACGCGGTTCACTAAGCAAATGGGCGACAGGTTGCCCAGCTGGTGGCGCAGCTTTTTGGACAGGCAGACGGCGCTGTCCTTGGACACCGGCGCTAGCTCCACCGACCAGGAGTACTTGTAGTTGTAGTTGTTGCTGTGGATGTCGTGCGAGATGAGACGCTTTGAGGTGGTGACTTTGCCGGGCACCATGGTCAGTAGAAAGTCCACCATTCGACGGGCATGGTTCTCGTTCGCGTAGTAAAAGTCGAGGCCGCCGTGCTCTGGCTTAATGCCTAGCGTGTGCTCATGCGCTTTGTGCTTAAGGATCAGCTGTTCCAGATAATAGAATGTCTTCTTGTTCTCAGCGCGCTGGCGCACTTGCACCAGACACCGCCAGAAGTCCTTTGCTTCCGTACGATGACAGTCGGTGCACATCTGATTCTGTACAGTGAACTCCACGACGAAGACCTGCTGGAGAACAGTGCCTCCAACAATCTCGCCATGCACCGTGAGCTTGACCTTAATGCGCTTCGAGTGTTGTTCGGTCCATATAAAGCCGGCGTCTACTAGCTTTACCTCTTTAAGTCCCTTCAGCTTTTTAAGACAAAGCGCCAGCAGCTCGCGGGACTCAAGGGATGCCTGAATCCACTCGGTTGGAGGCTGTAGGTAGCGCTCGCAGTTGCGGCAGAAGTGCAGCACTGCTTGCTTAGGTATGTTCTCGGTTATGTCCACATGGTTGCGCAGACAGGTGACGCACATGTTGGCTGGATTCGGTTGAATGGGCACGGCACACTCGCAGCAGAGGATGACGGCGTCGGGGGCGCTCTGGCTGCTGCCGTCGACGGCGGAGCCCAGGGGGCTGACGCCAGAGTATTCGTGGTCCATGAATGTGTTTTCCCTTTCCCTTTTTCTTTCGTGTACTTCGAAATGACGCTGTTTCTCACGCAGTTGCAAGAACATGTACGTAAACACGTGCAGAGTACGAAATTAATGCTGCAAGACGCAGGGCTGCCAACTCACATGGAATGGCATGTGAGCATATCGATAGTACGCAATCGATGGTGGTGGGGTGGGAAGAGACATGTGTCAAACGCACTGCTACACGGCCATCACTAGCTCACATAGGGAATATAAAAAAATCAAGTGAATTTTGTTTGACCGGTAAAGGGAAAATCCATTATCATGCAGAAGAAACCCATCAATGCCAACACCCTGCTGGACAAACTGCATCGCGGCGCCGTCTACGCCTGCATCGGAGTCACCCTCTACGGCACCTATGTGCTAGGTAGCCGCTACTACCACTACTACACTGTGATTCGCCCGGAGAAGCAGCAGGCGGAGCTGAAACTCCTTGACGAAGGCGCCCACGACAAGGCCAAAGAGCTGAAGTACTAGGCGATTGCACATATTTCCTGATATTCTATTTAATGTCTGTTAAGCGTAATAAATTGTAAGGAAATGTAAGCATTTTCCACTTAAATGGAAATCGAATCGCGGCTACTGCAGCTGTGTTGTTTTTGTTGTGTAATATGAACAGCTGATTACTTAAGGGGGGGTGGGGTGTGGTTTTTTCGATTGCCATTCAACGAATCGAATGGTATTTAAAAAGGTTTTATCGGCTTGTGGAAGATCGGATCTGACCAAAGAGGTCCCAGAGAAATCGGAGTCCCTATCGGGGCCAACAATGCGGCAATAACAGTCGTGATAATAAATCAAGCGACGAGTCAACAATACGACAATGGAGAATCAATCAATTTGTGTGGCCACGGCACTCGGCAAATGGCAAGACTAGAATTATTTAAAAGCCGGGCCAAGAATTATGGTTTAGCTGGCAATCAAAAATGTTGTTATCTCTGAGGGGCATCGTGACTGGACCTGGTCGGGGCTGGCGCTGGCTTCCGCTTGCTTAACTTGGCCCGCATCTGCAGTCAGCAGTCTGCAGTCGGCGGCGATCGGGGATCGGAGACGTCGCGTGCATTAACCTCATCGCCGCCGCTTGCTGGGTCGAGCAACTGCAGCCGAATAATCCAAGTACTTACGAGTATTAACATTAAATGATACAAAAGCAACAATAGATATGGGTATGGCTATAACAATGGTGTTGCCACCCACTTTTGGGAGGATGTCGAGACGTCGCCCGCGGGGGCTTGTGAAATACCGTTTGCATTTTCCATGCTTCATTTCATTCAACAATGTTGCCTCCGGCATTGCCTCATTCATGGGGTCTCGCCGCCCTCTCCTCCATTCTTCCGCTCCAATCAAGTTAGCCAATCAAAAAGTGCATTTGCAATTAATGCTGCGCTGCGGTCAAGGTCGTCCTTCATTGTGGCCCAAAGCAGTCGGAAATGAGTTGGAAACGGTGACTCGGCTTAGCGATACCCTATTGGGATTGGGATTCTATTTGGTCTATAAGAGGAATGTGTGCTTGAGAGAAAACGATCGGAAATGGACGAGAGAAAACCGAAGGCTGACCCATAACGGACTTAATGATTTGCTTATGTTCACTGGGTTTTGCTATTATTAAACTCTTAATCGAAAGAACTAATATTGCTTTTTAGCAACGAAAGGCCTGGAAAATAGGATTAACATATGATATAACACCAACTTAGGTAGAGGCACAATAGACTTAACATAAGAATTAAAACAACAAAAATAAAATTACAAAAAGACAGTTCCAGTATGCCCTTCCACTGCAGGTAAGTCAATAAGTCGTGCACTGTGGATTCTTTCGATAAGAGGGAGCAGTTATTTTTGTTGCTGGTTTTTGTATTTGAAATGATCTCGCAGAGATCTCAAGGACTGGCAGCTTAATTAAAAATGCCAAAATGCTGTAAACTTGCAATTGTTCATAATTGTACATACATACATACATATAAACGTAATCGCATTCATACTGTGTGTTCAAATGCATTTCCCACGGGGCTTGTGGCATTTTGATTTGGCAGCCCGCTTCTAGGTGGAACACGGCTCCCTCTCCTCTCGCATACAAACATATGTTGATAATGTAATTTCCCCTCTGTAATACATACATATGTATGTATCTGGAGGGCTGGTGAAAGTGTCATACGATAGTTGCTCAGGTGATTGTGGCACGCATGGCAGTGTGTCGTCTGTGGATCGTATTGCCAGAGTGTGGGATTAAGTTTTTTGGATTGCATAATAGGCCGCCGTGGCATCTAGAACTTGGATTTGGATTATAACTTTTGCGGATATCGGGGTTTGTGGGGAGGAAAAACGTTAGTTGCAACGCCCACTGCCAGATCTGAGGGGATGAGCGGAAAATTAACCTTTTAGGTCGTTGCACGCTGCTTAAGCATAAACAATATTCGATTTCAAGTCGTCAACCCGTCATGCATTCAATCCCTTAGCTTTAACAATCGCTGACTTCACTGCCGATTCACTGCTGCTGCTTCTCTGATGCTGCTACTGCTGTTGTTGGAGCTTTGCATAACATCAAACTGTAGCAGCAATGCCCTGCCGACGACTATAAAAGCGCAGGGCAAGCTCCCACAATGAACAAACGTCAATCGGCTTCAGTCCCGACAACCAGCAGTGGCTCCATTCTAGACACAAAAAGTCCCTTAACATGAAGTTCTTGGTAAGCGGAATCGGGTGAAACAGCACGAAGATCCTCAGCAGCATGGCCGAAAAGGACTAACCCAAACCAAACCTCCGGTAAACTTGCAGTGCGTATTTGTGGCTTTTGCCATATGTCTGGCCGTCAGCTGGGCAGCCATTTCAGAGCCCGCCGCTGCTCTTCCTGAGGACCCCGAGCAGGATACGGCCGCCATAGCCGAGAAGAAGACGGAGAAACGCGGGATCTATAGCTTTGGCTTTGATGGCTATGGTCATGGCTATGGCGGCTATGGCGGCTATGGCGGCTATGGACATGGCTATGGTGGCTATGCACACAACTCCTATGGCTATGGCAGTCCTTACGGCAGCTTTGGATACGCGCCCTACTATGGCGGCCATCACGGCTTCTATCCCCACCATGGTCATGCCCACTACAGCTATTACTAGGAGGCTCCATAGAACACGTTCGCGCATCCACGCATACATATTTTTTTTATCGCTTCACGTTCATCACTGCCCATCATGCACTAATTTAGATGTATCAAATTTTCAGTCTAAAGAAAATTAAATAAAAATATTGGTCTTAAATAATTCGAACCTTGAGCCGTTCGCGCCGCTACCATCCGGCGGCTATTCAGGGATGGTCCGTTCGCCGTTTTTATGCGATAGTTAGCCGATGGTTTCCAAATGCAGCCCTAAAAAGCAATGAATGGCAATAAAAAATAGTTCGCGCCTACACATATTTCAAATCGTAATTCAAATTTTAAATCGTTAAAAAGAAGAAAAAAGCAAAAAATCTTAATACAAAATGAGACCAGCAATTGGTGGTAATACGTAAACATAAGTATGTATGCATTTGCTTTTTTTTATGATTAGTATTGTGCAACCGTTAAAAAAAAACAAGCAATACACGCATGCCGAAGTGGACTGCATAGATGGAAAATCTCGCTATAAAAATTTGGAAAATTTCCGAAATAATTCCGTGAATGTCAACAAGGACAGATATAACTGCAGATCTAATATTCTATCTGCTACCAAGGCGCTGCACCAAAACGGATTAAACTGGAAAATCTTCTGGAGATTGTTCGGAAATTGCTTGAGGTCCAGAGGGAGCAGCAGAAATTACAGGAGGAATACCAGGAAACAAAGCGAGAGATACTCCAGCAAATTGCGAAAAGCTTAGGCCAAACCAACCTCCAACCAGAGCTGCTGCAATTTTCAAGGGAGTCCAAAGAGTAGCGTTTTTGTACATATGGATTGTTTTATTATAACCAATAAAATATAACATTTTTGACGGATGGTAGCTGTTGGATGGGGTCAGTGAAAATCGATTTTTACATCTGTCAAAATATCCCACAATTCCCCTGGGATGTGCACATTGTGCTGAGCCTATTATAGGCCAACACCTTCTATCTAGAATATTTCACAAGTTGAAATGAACAAATTTGCGATTCTATTGGGAAAGAGCTGTCCTTGCCCAGATGCCCCTTCTTGCCGTTATGAGAATATATGTTTGTGCTGTTTTGAGCAAAATTTATTTATTTTTTTAACCTTCCGATAAGCAAATTGGACTGCATCAGCTGTTTGCAGGAATCCGAAAAGTGTTATTGCCCTGACCAATTTCTTCCGACCCGAGTTTGAGGTTGGGTTAGCAAAAAAAAAATTTATTAAAAAAGCACAAGCTAAACTGCATTGGTTAATGTGTCAAAATTATTTTAATGCATCAATAAGCCATATATTTTTTCCTTTTGTAATTAAGATTCGTCATCCGCCTTGCGGAATTTTAAAACAGGAGCACCAATGTGGTTTTAAAAGTAAATCGGAAAACATTGTGAAAATGAAAACCGGATCCTGCTTGATAATTACTATATAACGTTACTCTTTAGACTCCCTAGAAAATTGCAGCAGCTCTGGTTGGAGGTTGGTTTGGCCTTGGCGGCTCGTAATTGGCTGGAGTATCTCTCGCTTTGTTTCCTGGTGTTCCTCCTGTAATTTCTGCTGCTCCCTCTGGACCTCAAGCAGTTTCCGAAAAATGTGCAGTTGCAGAAAGAATGTTAGAGCTGCAGTTGTACAAGGGTGTTCAATAAGTTTTGCAGTTCGATAAGAGATGGCGTTACGACTAGCCTAATTTGTATATGTAATGTTGGTTTATCTTTTATCTGAAAGTATGTGAAGTTTTATTTAAATCTGTCAGTGTATTTTCTGTTTTAAAAAATCATTTAGTATCGACATGTTAGAGACTTTTTTACAATGTAAAAAATCATGTATCGTGCAGTGATTGTTTTTTTTTTTTTTTAAGTTTTAAAAGCAAAGGATATTTATGATCAAATATGAAAAGAATATAAGGACTCGTCGCCTTCAATTAATTTAATTCAATTATTTTAACGTGGTCGTACAAGCCTCGAAGACAAACCACGTCAAGGACGTCCAAATTTAGCAACAGCACCCGAATTTATAGAAAAAAAAAATAGGATATCGTATTGGAACATCGTCGGGTGACTGAAAGAGATTTAGTAGAACCCCTAGGCATCTCATTGGGCAGTGTAACAAATATTTTGACTGATGTATTGGGTTTCAGAAAGCTGTGTGCAAAATGGGTGCCGCATTCGCTAAAAATGAAAAGAAAAAAACGACTTTCTCAACCACATTTAAAGCGATTTCGAATGAGACTTGGGTTTATCACCATGATTCTGAATGAAAACAAGAGGTTAAAAAATGGTTTGGAACTGGTTCTTCGGCTCGTGAAAGAGCCGATTCAGAAATCGACCAAGAAGTTGTTGGTATCAGTTTCTTAGGATGCGAAAAGAAGTTTGTTTGTGGATTACTTGCAAACTAGTAAAACAATAGATTCCGAATATGACTTTATCCTTTTAGACCAGCTAAAGGAAACAATTTGTCAGAAAACACCCAGTTTCCAGAAGAAAAAATTATTTTTCATCAGGACAATCCGGACAATCAGGACACATGTCACAAGAGCATTTTGACAATGGGTAAAATCTATGAATTAAAATTTGAATTGTTCACTGGAGCATTCACTGTATTCACGAGACTTGGCTTCTACCGACTTCAAACTGTTTCCAAACCTAAAAAAATGCATGCGTGGAAAGCGTTTTTTATCAAACTATTAGGTCATAACAGCTGTGGAGGTGAATTTTGAGGCACTTCCTTATTCGAACTTCTGGGATGGAACTCATAAATTTAAATCTCGTTCGAACAAGTTTATTGATGTTAAGAAAGACTATACTCAATAACAAAAGGTATTTCAAACTCTAAAATTGTGTTTTTCTTATCTTAGTCGGCATTAACGGACCCCCGAAAATCCGCAGTAATATTATGCCAAATGTTTATAGCGAGACTTTCCATCTATGGAGTCCACTTCGCCCTGCGTGTATTTTTTGTTTATTGAACGGCTGCAAAATAGTAATCATTAAAAAGAAAATATATACATACTTATGTTTACTTTTTACCACCAATTTCTGTTCTCATTTTGTATTGTGTTTGTTGTTTTTCTTTTTCTTTTTTCAACTACTTAAAATTTGAATTAAAATTTGAAATATGTGTAGGCGCGAACTATTTTTTATTGCCATTCATTGCTTTTTAGGGTTGCATTTGAAACTATCTGCATAATACCGCTTAGAAAGGTGCGGCTTAGGAACACCCCACATGAATGGTGGAATAACTGGGAAAGGCAAAACCTTACGAACCATCTCCGAAATGAATGGCCATCAGTGTGAATGGCCTATAAGCTGAGGCTTAGTCCTTCTGCATATTATCATTTCATTCTGTCTTTTTGGATGTATATAGACTTATACTAAAATTAAGTATGTGCTACCACCCACCCCTCCACCCCTCCACCACTGTTATTATCGCTTCGTCGGCGGTCTGGCAACTCCGGCGAATAACTGTTTGTAAAAAAGCATCGATCGCGGCCGAACATATTTTTCCGGAACCAAATCATCTCTTTTTGTGCTTAACAATGCTGAAACGTGATCTGCAAAGCATCACACTAAAACTGTCCGATCTCAAGGAGTACGACGCGAAGCGCCTTGAGCACAAATTCAAGAACCAGCGCCCCAGACACTCTGTGGAAACCATCACCGGGGACGACGCGTCCACGTCTGGCACGGCAACTTCCAGCTTTACAGCTGGCACGTGCACAGAGACGCCGTCCTCGGGCACACCCACTGGCTCGACCACTCCCACGTTGGCTACTCAGGAGGATCTGGCTGATCGGTCGCCCAGACCCACATCTGTGGCAGCCACAGCCACAACAGCAACCACGAATTCTGGCTCCACCGATGATGATATTAGCGTGGCGGCCGTCGCAGATGACAACGACACCATCGATGACTTCAGCGACGACAACTGGGTGGACTTGGATGCGGACACTAACGATGCGGACGAAGAGGGAGCAAGAGGAGGAGCCTAGCCTAGCATGCGACCTAGTATCTTTTTTTTATACTTAAATGTCAAATTTTGAAGACGTAACAAATAATAATTCCAAACTTCAAGATCGAGTCGAGCACCTTTGCCAAGGTTATTATTATGTTATCCAGATGTTTGCAACTCTCAGAAGGGCAGAGATGGATGTAGAAAGTTATTATCTCAAACGTATTTACAACCAAACATACACATCAGAATATTAAGGCTGGCTACTGTTAGGCTATAAAAGCTGGCGGCTAAGGAATTACTGTCCATAAGTCTTACATACATATGTATGTATGAAGAAATATGTATGTAGATATGCTCTGCATGGTCTCTGTTTTTGGTATCGCCGTTTGCAAGAGGGACGGATTATTTTTTAATGCGTGGAAGGGATTGTGGCATTGCTTGTTCTTGCACGTTCTTTTCATGAGAAAAGACACAACGTCGATATTAATTCCTGCAATCTATCATCATTCCACCTAATGGCCATTATTCTAGCTCTCTACACATTAAGTTTACAAAGGCGCCAATTAGGACCGACGGACGGACAAACGAATGTGGCTATATCGACTCGGGTATTGATGCTGGTCAAGAATCTATATGTATAATTTAAAAGGTTGGAAGCGTTTCCTTCTGGCTGTCACATACATCTATAGTATAGATTCTAACGATTCTAATATACATATGTATGTACCGCTTTATTCTTTAAGTGCCGAGTAATCAAAAAAGGGCATTTGAAAACTGCGATTTTCGGTCTGATTTTTAATTTTCTGAAGCATGCATGCTTTTAGGCTGTATTGATGATACAGGCAATTTAACTTCCCTGTAGTTGTGTAGTTGTATTGTGTAGTTTGGATCGCTGGCTTTCAGGTTCGACGAAGGGTAAACATTTATTGAATCCGATATGCTATATAATCTGATATGCTATAGAATTATTACACTATTTTCTTTGATTTGAGCGCTCATGGAAACCTTTTTACGAATTTGTTTATAAATTATTCAAAAAATGTATACAGGGAGCAATTACTTATTACGATGCAATTACAACACCGTCAAGTGGCCCGTCTGAAACCAGCAGAAGGCTGTTACGCGAGCATTCCGGAAAGATAGCTGTTAGACTAATATTCGAGGAAAATGAGCACTAAAGTTACTAAGAGAACTAGGCATGCATTCAAAATACATTTACCACTACAATTACAAATTACTAGAAAGGTGTGTAAGGATTAGTAATTTCCCTCTAGTACCAGGCAACTAGTTCCGCACTGGTGTCGCACTAGCTACCATTCTCACCTCCCTGGTTCCAGATCGATTACCCGCAATGTATTTCAGCGGAGAATTTAACACATGCATGTCCTAGGGCGGAACCACCCCTGGTTCCCGCTCGATTACCCTTCGATTACCAGTAGCTAGTTGCTCAGGAGGTAGTTCCGAACTAGTTACCAGTAGAAAGCCAGCAACTAGTTCCCCACTCGACTACCCTTCGATTACCTGTAGCTAGCTCTGACCTAGTTACCAGTAACTAGTTCCGAACTGACTACTGGTAGTAGTCAATCTGGCAGTCTGGAATAATACAAAAATAAAAACACAATGTCTTTCATTATAACGAATAATTTTTAATTATATGATGCTTAGCCTACTCCTGGTTTTCGGCAAGACACTTCTTCTTAAACACCCTTTTCTTCATCAATTGCATTGCCTTCCGCACAGTGTTTTCGGGAGGCTCATCGCCAGGCGGAATACATTCTGTAATTAATATTTGTTTTAATTTATATGAAAAATTTTTAAATCTCTAGAAGTGTAAATGGTATTTTACCTAGCAAAGCTGCAAAAAATTCTTTGTGGGTCCTAAGGGCCTTCTTCCCTTGGACCCCATCGACGTTATATGCCAGAACAATGACCTCACTCAAAATAAAGTTTAAGCCGCTCAAAACGCCAGCTGGCTGGAGAATCGATTTCATTGGTGTTATCTGTAAGTGAAACATTAAAATATAAAGATAAGACAGAGAAAAAAGTCATAAAATTTAGAGTTTAGATATACTTACATAAATGTCCCTATTTAATTTTATTTTTTCTTCCAGTTCTATAAGTTCCTCCTCACGTTTTATAGGGAACTGTCCCCGAATGGGATTCAATTCCCCCTTCTCCTTTACCAGCTGCTTTATTAAAACAGTTTGATCCGCTAAAATTTGGACCACTGCATTCAATTGATCTAAAAACAATGTTGTTAATTAATTTGATTATACAAATATTTTTCTGTTAATCTTTATTAGTCTTACCACGAATAACTGCATTCTCCTGTTTTAGAGTTTCTAAAAGTATTTGCACGTACCTGTTTATATTAATTTGATTTATTTATTAATTCTTTCCCACTTTTATAATAAATGTTCACACAAAAGACTCTTCCAGCGATTAGATCTTGTACAGAAGTGAACAAAATCAACGCATAAAGCAAACGAGGAAAACAAATACATTTTGTTTGTGTAAATTCTTGTCTCTTTCATTCCACGATCGCAACTACAGTAAAATATCACGATTAACTTACCATTTCGGCTCATTGCATGTCGTGGCTCGGTAAAAACTAGCTGAGTGGGCACTGTAACTCCACGGAATTGCGGTTATTTGCCGCCTACAAAAACAAACCGAAGGCGGCTTCGTTTTTCGGTTCTTTTTCGACTGGTCCGCGTTCGCTTCCCGCGTAACTAGTTGCAGAACTAGTACATTGTAGTCGACGAAGACCTGGTCCGCGTTCGCTTCCCGCGTAACTAGTTGCGTAGCTAGTTGCGCGGTAAACAGCGCAGAACTAGTTCGAGAGGGGTCAATTGACCCCTTTGGTTCTACAGGGTTAATAAGAGGAAGAGAATTAGTGGTGGATATAATATGAGGGAATTATATTCCGAGCATAAGACCCTAAACGGTTCATGAAAGGAATAATTCGATCTACAAAGTGGAAGGAACAACGGTATACAATTTCTAGTAAGTCTAATAGGAATCGTGAAGTTTATCGGGAGGTTTACTAATAGCAGTCTAAAAGAGTAAGATGGAAGTCTCACACCCGCATCCCAGTTAAGGCCCCGCAGAGCAAAGAGTAAAAAGTTTTTTTGTACTGATTCTATACGGTCCTGGTGTACTTTGTACTGAGGGCACCATACACAGGAGCCGTATTTTAAGATCGGACGAAAAAGCGAGGTATAGAAGTCAACACCATGGCTGAAAGTTATTGAGATCGGATTGCAAGCGAGAATGAAATGAAATGTCCTTATACTGGACACAGAGTTTAACATCATCCGCATACATAAGTACTCGAGACTATGTTAATACCGACAGCAAGACGTTAATAAAGAGTGTAAAGAGTAAGGGGCTGTAAAGCCATCTAGGGCTGCCCTGTGGTACTCCCAAAGAAACCTTTACTGGTAAGGAGAGGAAGTTTTTGAAGAGGACTCTTTGAGACCTGGAACAAAGATAGCTAGAAATCCATCTCAGGAGGTTGGGCGGAAACCCTAAAAGGTCAAGTTTATGCGCTAAAAGGGAATGGTTTGCATGGGGATTTAATGCATTCGACCATTACTGAAGTCGGTGTAAATGAAATCCGTCTGTAAGTTACCATGAAAGCCTTTAATAATGAAAGAGGTAAACTCTAGCATGTTCGTGGTGGTTGATCGCCGCCTTATAAATCCATGCTGAGTTGGAGATATAAGTGACTTGCAGAGATGTTGCAAGTGCGGAGTAAAAACTTTCTCAAACATTTTGGGAATAGCGGATAACTTTGCTATACCTCTATAATTTTTTGCATCAGACTTGCTACCATTTTTATGGAGAGGAATTATAAGCGATTCCTTCCAGATAGTGGGGAAGCAAGAAGAATCAATGGACAGGGTGAATAGTTTAAGCAAGGGTCCACACAGTGCCTCGGCGCAGTACCTGAGTACACAACCTGGAATCCCGTCTGGACCCGGTGAAAACACCGGCTTAACTAGTCGAAGATAATGAAGTTAAGAACATTCATTTAACAAGGGACTGAGAAAAACGTATCCTGCATCGAGAAAGGTAGTTCTTACCTATTACATGGCGAGAATGAGAGAATGAGTCTTGATTTTATGTTTTTTAGGCTGGATAACTCTTTGGTAAACCAAGGGGGGTTTTCCAGATCTAATCGGACAAGAAAGCGGGACACAAGAATCACAAAAAGTGAATTGTAAACAATTTTTGTGCCTTTTATGCCATCAGTGCACAAGTACAAAGCGGACCAATCAAAATCCCTAATGAGGTTATTAAGCATCGCAAGCTCGGCTTTACGAAAGCAGCGGACAGGTTGCCTACTCGACCGATCCAATACAGTTGGTCCTATATCTAGCGACACTTCGAAAGTAGGATGGTAGACGTCTTCAAGTATGGTGAGCGGAAGGGCCCCCTCCTTTCTAAAAGTTGTGTACCGACCTGCCAAAACCACGGAACTAAGAATGTCCGGCTTTAACCAGGTTTGATACAATCATACAATTCATTCAATCCTGGAAAAGAATGTTGAGCTTACTACATAAGCCTCTAACATTCTGATAGGTTACTAATAGAGAAGTTAGTTTTTTGGAAGGGTGGTAGCAGGACGGGAAGATGAGGAAGTTGAGGTTGAGGGTGGCACACTGGAATGATTTGTAAGAGTTATGGGGACCTATTCTTCTTCTTAGCCTTAAACTCCTTCACCACCCAATGCTCCGGCCAAAATTTGGCGGAGCAAATGGTGTCAAATTGAGTTGGGGAGATGCTTATCTTAAACGAGGCTATCTCCCTGGCATAGGAGAAGTTACATTTCTCCACCCTTAAACCAACGGCTTTTATTTTGCTTTGAACAAAAGCAATTACATCATTAGATGTGAGGTCAGGGGTCAGCCGTGAAACAAAAACTTGTCGTTTTGGTGGGACTCCCACCAGTGGTTTAGGCACCACAGGCCTAGTACCTGTGGTGGCAATATCCGGAGATCCGGAACTTCTGATCACTGGTGGGATCGGAATAGATGGGACAGCTAGCGAGCTGCGGACACCACGAGCACGGACGCTGCATACGTACTTGGCTGCACGTTCTCCGAGGCGATGAATTCGG